TTTGATATATATATATATATATATATATATATTCAAAGTTCCTAGCATTTAATTCAAGGCATACATTTTATCAGTTCATGCAGTCCCAGGGAATCGAACCCATGGCTTTGCTATCACTCCATATGCTACTGTTTGAGATACAAGAACACTGATAAATCTCCTTTGAAAAGTGATACATTTCACATATCTTTTGCCATCAAATGTTGTATCCAGTCAAACTCCGTTGCAAATTCATTTAATGGAAGTGGACATACCCTCATGCTCGAAAACCAAGAACAAAGTTGTGCAAAGTAAAAGCAAATATGACCCAGACTGCTAGTTGATGTTCACATTGGTCACCCATTTTGTGTGGGTCACCTTTCAATGTCCAATGTAAAATCTGGGTCCTGAACCCAAACCATTTGAGAATCACAGCTTTAAATAACCTTTAAAGAAACCTCTGATCTGAATAAGTGTTACTTGAAAAACATGTAAAATCTCTCCCTCACAAAAAAGTATAACTCGAAAACCCTATAGTGAAAAAAATGCATGAACCTGCTGCAAAGAACCATTGAAAAACCTTAATTTTTAAGAATTTAACACAATAACGACTAATTTCTGCAGTCTTTTAATTCTTCAATGTTATTTAAGTGTTTACTTATATACCATTATAGTATTTATTAATATTTTGAATTTATAGCTTTTGTTTTTATATTTTCAGTTTTAGAGATTTCTATTTAGCTTCATTTCGGTTTTAATTTTTTCTACTTTTAGTACTTCAGCTTCAACTTATTTATTTCATTTAGTTGGCAAGGCAGCATTTAAAATTCAAATTTCAATTTTTTGTTTTAGTTTTTCAGTTAATATTTATATTTTATTTTATTTCAGCTTTTTTTTTCATTTACTGAAAATGATTTGTAATAGTTTTAGTTAATGATAACAACACGGTAATGCTTCAGATACAAAATCACACATCACAGACACTTTTTCAGATAAAATTCACACACGTGCCTCTCGTTCCAAAAATCCCCCACCACCTCATCTCCAGAATACAGAAGCACACCATGCATCATTCATTATCTCTCCGATACCCATGCAGGATCCGACATGAGGCCTCGTGGTGTCAGTCATAGTCACAGTTAGAGATCTGCCCTTATCTGTTGTTTATCCAGCGATGTCAGAGCTGACAGAGGCACGCACACGGTCATCAAGCCTGTAAGCATTCACCCCCTGGACTCCACACACTTCCTCTAATTAAAGCCCAGTCGGCGGCGTCCATGTTGGGCAGAGAGGACAGGGTGATGGGGTAGTGGATGTGTGGAGCCTCAGGGGAAGAAGGCAGAGGGGTGAGTACAGGAGGAAATGAAAAGAGAAAGAAGAAAGAATGAGACCTCTCTAAGCTGAGGAGCATCACCTTTCCCAGGAGGAAGCTGTCAAACAAACTCCACATCATAGCAGGAGAGCAAGTTCATGGCCTGATGAAATGGAAACCACCATGTTGCTTTGTGTGTATGTGTGTGCAGACCCACCGTGTCCAACTTATGTCCCCCCCCCCAAAAAAAAGAGTGTACATTTAAAAGAATAAGGGAATTTTCTATTAGTTAAGATACTTTATTGCATTACTTTTCACCTGAAAACATAAAAAATTGAGTTTGTTATTAAATTTTTTATTAATTTATTATTTTTTTTATTTTTACCTGATTTAATACAATAACTACAATGAAAAGTTATCATATTTACAAATCAATTATAGAATCATAGCAGAATTGCTCAGCTAACTGTTGCTGGTCATAATAATTTGTAATTGATCACTAAAGATTTTAATCAAGTATAGAAATCAAATTCTGCATAAAATACTACTCATTTAAGCCAGTTTTTTTGACTACTTCTCATAACTACCCTTCCCATAATTCTCTGTTGCAACATGTGAATTATAAAATACATTGGAAAATGGTCACATTCTTCATACTTCATTCAACCTAAACCTTATATCAGTAAGTTGCCATGGCATCAACTAGTTTTTTTAAACCTTTTTTACGTTTATCATCTGACATTCATTCATTTATTCATTCATTCATGTGTTGCTTTGTGTCCAAAAATATGTTGCTCGGTCCAAAAATCGCTGCATACTTTATTTTGCATTAGCACTAAAAAGCTTTGTCAGTAAAAAAAAAAGTCCAAATTAAAAAAAATAACTTTTTAAAACGTTTTTTTTTTTTATTCCACTGCACTGCGTCTTGGATTTTTAAACACAAAAACGCTTTCTGTGTGAATGGCCCCTTCCGTCCTGTAATGAATGTTGGCTAGCAATGTCCCAAGAGAAGAAAGCAACTCATGTTCACCTTAAATCCATGTCGCCTGCTTACTCTCTCTCATGACAGCAGGGCAGATGGTTATGCCACATATAAATTTATCAGTAAACACAGACTGATTAGTTAATTTTGTATTTGAGGAGTGCTAATGGTATTCGATCACATCATCCACACTGTGATTTAAATCATTTGGATATGTTATTTTCCACAGCCACCTGTTATAACAGCTCTAAATATGTCATAATGAATTTTCATATTACCACATTCATTTATTTATGTGTGCGTCCATTATGACATATTCGTATTACCACATTGCATGTACAATGAGGCATTGGCCAATACTCACACACCGCACTGCATAGAGGAGCCAGAGTTTCTTGGAGACAAATCTTGGCTGTAATTGAGCACTCATGTTAGACTGGCTGTAAAAAGAAAAAATTCCAATGCTCAAGCAATTTATTTACACTCCGAACAGAAGAATAGAACTCTGTGTTCATTATGTATGTACTGCTAGGGGAAGTGGGAAAGAAAAAGAGAGAAGACTTGGACCTGGCAGCCCTTAAGCTGCTTGTTAGATGCTGCCACTCTCATTAAATATAGATGCTGTTTCTTATGTTGGGTGGGTTATTATTATTAAATGTTAGGGTTAAATCCATGAGCAAACCTTTAAATAACTTTGTTTATTTACATCTATACACAGATTAAGTTGGCATTTCCTCTCTTGATCTTTTGCTGTCTTGCTCTGCTAACTGAAAGACCAGACTTTATATAATGTTGCAATTTCTCTAGCTGGGAAACAGAAGAGCAGCATGCATCAATATTTGCTTTGAGCAAAACCTTTGCTTTTTGTGCATATTTTTAGAACAAGCTTTACTTGGATAAAGTAGAGAAAGTGTCTTTATTTTTTCGATTTTTCTGTCCCTTTTCTGCAGGTTCGTACCAGGTGAAGCAGGGAACCTGTGAGGTGGTGGCTGTCCACCGGTGCTGCAATAAGAACAAGATAGAGGAACGTTCACAGACCGTCAAGTGCTCCTGTTTCCCTGGTCAGGTGGCCGGTACGACACGAGCACAGCCTTCTTGTGTGGAGGGTAAGTGCTTTTCATGTGTTGATGTTTACCCTTATTTTTTTTTGCAATAAATGTAAATAATAAATATTAAAATTATAAGAAATATACAAAAGCAATATGAATAAAGTACAAGGTGCGGAAATATTCAACCCAGGCTCATTGGAAATACGTGACTCTGCCTACATTTCTGCAAAACTACAAAAACCTATACCTATACATACATTTCAAGTTTCCAGGTGAAATGAACACTAGAGGCAGTAAAATATATTACAATTACAGGGGCGGATTATCGATGAATGAAAGCACATTTTTGAGCAGTTCCTTGCAAAATACTATGGTATGACCTCAAAACATGTTTACTATAGTGCATAATATATCTACATTTTGACATCTGAATCACATAATCTGCTCCATATGTATGGCTTTTCTAAGCTTGCTCAGTGGCTCACCTGGTACAGGATTGCGATGCGAATTGCTCGAAGTCCCATGAAACGTGAATTGCAACATTCCACAAAAGAGCTCAAAGCCTTGAATATGGAAGCTAAAATGACATGGTTGCTTCAGCATGTGTTTTTATCTCGTTTGCCTATGTTATTTCTATCAGTTAGGATTAGGGTAGGGTTTAGTGTAGGTGGTATTAATTTCAAATGCGATAGATGTGATAGAACTAAATAAAAAAATAATAAAAAATTAAATGCAGGCACAGTCACGTTTATCTGTTTCGTAGAAAATTAAACCGCTATTTAGTGCCAGACATTTCACTTTAAAACTTGCAATGCAAAATAATTTTGCAACCATTTTGTATCCACAGGCATGAATTTTCATAACACTGTGTTGTTTGACAAACCCGCCTCTGCAATGGAGAAAAAAAGGATAGCTTATAGCACCTTTTGTGGACATGTCCTCTGAAAAGTACAGTGAAATTTACTCGGTGCAATGCATTTCAGGTCTTGCAGAAATATAGGCAAAGTCATATATTTCTAATGAGCCTGGGTTAGAAATATTATGAGGATGTGCAAAATAAAAAGTGCATCAACAGTAGTGTAGTACAGTATGCGGACATTAAAATGGCCCAATTTACATTATTAGTATTAGTATTATCATCCATCTTGGTTGATCCATTCACGCATGATAAGCACAGACAATTTACCATTTATACCTGATGTTAACATGTCTCTTGTGGCCAATTGTGAATGGGTTTCATTGGAAAAGGTCTCTGATTTTGCAAAATATTAGGTGTATTTTGATATCAAAGCCATTATCCATGTGACAAATGTGACTACAAAGTCCTCCGCTCCATCTCTTCTCTATTACCTAAAGGTTTAGGACAAGAGAGTGTAGTTTGGGTGATGAAGGAGGTTTAAATGTGTCCCCTCGGTCATACTGTACGCTCTATAGTTATGAAGGCAAGAGGGCGAATGCTGGCAGCCATTTTTCTTCTTTGTCTTCTTTGACACCCGAGACAAAAGACCCCAATAGAAAGTAGGGAGGGCTGCACCAGGGGAGGTATTCCATGTTATGACTTTCATGGCTCTCTTTGACTATAGTTCATGTAATGACAAAAATGGGTCCTATGCACATTTTGTATTTTCCACAGATGTGAGGCTACAGGGCTGTATTATGGAGGCACACGGAATCTGATGTAACCGAGAGAAAGAAAACAAAAAACTATAAAAAGGATAAAATACACAAGCATAGGGATAAATTAATAAATTCATCTATTCATTGTTTTTCTATTTATGTACCTAATACCTTCATTATTTCATATTATATATTATATATAAATAATTGATTTGTTGTATATATATAATATGTTAATTATATATATATATATATATATATAATGTATATAATATATTAATATTATTACAGTTTAAAATAAAAGTTTTCTATTTTAATATATTTTAAAATGTAATTTATTCTTAATGAAAAAAACTGAATTTTCAGCAGTCATTACTGCAGACTTCAGTGTCTCATGATCTTTCACAAATCATTGAAATGTGCTGATTTGCTGTTCATTTCTTATTATTATCAATGTTGAAAACAGTTGTGCTGCTTAATATTTTTGTGAAAACCGTGATGCCGTTTGTTTCAGGATTATATATATATATATTTTTTTTGATGAATTAAAAGTTTAAAATAATAGCACTTATTCAGGGGAGGTATTCCATGTTATGACTTTCATGGCTCTCTTTGACTATAGTTCATGTAATGACAAAAATGGGTCCTATGCACATTTTGTATTTTCCACAGATGTGAGGCTACAGGGCTGTATTATGGAGGCACACGGAATCTGATGTAACCGAGAGAAAGAAAACAAAAAACTATAAAAAGGATAAAATACACAAGCATAGGGATAAATTAATAAATTCATCTATTCATTGTTTTTCTATTTATGTACCTAATACCTTCATTATTTCATATTATATATTATATATAAATAATTGATTTGTTGTATATATATAATATGTTAATTATATATATATATATATATATATAATGTATATAATATATTAATATTATTACAGTTTAAAATAAAAGTTTTCTATTTTAATATATTTTAAAATGTAATTTATTCTTAATGAAAAAAACTGAATTTTCAGCAGTCATTACTGCAGACTTCAGTGTCTCATGATCTTTCACAAATCATTGAAATGTGCTGATTTGCTGTTCATTTCTTATTATTATCAATGTTGAAAACAGTTGTGCTGCTTAATATTTTTGTGAAAACCGTGATGCCGTTTGTTTCAGGATTATATATATATATTTTTTTTTTGATGAATTAAAAGTTCAAAAGAATAGCATTTATTTGAAGTAGAAATGTTTTGTAACAATGTAAAAGTCTTTTTGATCAATTTAATGCAAACACAGTTGAACGGTAGTATTCAAGCTAATCTGACCATTAGAATATTATGTGATTATATGTATGTGCGTATGTCTTTGTCTTTTTTATATGCATGTATGTGCATGCATGTCTTTGTCTTTTAAAACTATTGGTATACACAGAACAGCAGAAAGAGAATTGGAAAGGCCGTGTATGAACTCACATCAGAGGTCGTGTTGGCTTTGTGCTGATGTAAGAGAGAGTCAGTATGATTGACCTGTGTTTTTGTGCAGTGAAGGAGAGAGTGGTGAGGGTCATTTTCCTCTATCAACATCGCTGGATCTCTAGATCCCTCAGGCCATCAGTCTCACTATCTCCCTCAGGACCACACAGGCCTCTGGAGGGAGGTCACATAGAAACATATTCTCAGCTTCTGAAACTTCGTAAATATCTAATACTCAGCGCCAGTGGCGTAACTTTGCTTTGAAAAGTGGTGGGGACACCGCACAACTCGTTTTGCTAGTTTTTTATATGAATTTATAAATGAAATAATTATAAATAGAAAAAATAGAAATACACATCTAAATTAAATGACTGAACACATTTTTCAGTAGCTTAGAAACTGTGTAGCTTTTCCAGAAAGAAGCTATTTTTGTAGTGGTGTAGCATGAGAAAAAGCATTATGTCATATTATATGGCATCAGTTCTGTGCTAAAGTTCCCATGTGTGTAAAGCAAAAATGAATAAATGTATCATTCGACAAAAATATCAGGCAGCACAACTGTTTTAAACAAATATTAGAATGATTTGTGATTGGTGAGCATAAGAGACTTTATCAGCTGAGAGTCAGCTGATGCGAGCTTGACTAACGTGACCTGCCAGAACTAACGCTACGCTTGATTGTAATAATGTGTATGGCTAGCAGCTTGTATCTTTCTACCTAACAAAAGGTTTACTGTGCTTTATAGCTCATGGTTTGGCTGCAGTTTAACTAATATCTAGGCAAGGCAAGGCAAGGCAAGGCAAGTTTATTTGTATAGCACATTTCTTTTGTCCTGCAAATGTCACTTTGTATACCATACAGTTCACCTTTAAACAGCAGATACTGAGAAATATATTTAATCTTATTTTTTAAATACAGTTTTAAAAATAGGGTGTTAAGAAAAGAAATGTGAGATGGGAGTAATTGCGATTTTCCTGTGATATATTACAGAGTAACTTAAAGATCCTATTTCTTATGCTGTATTGAATATTTGTATTGTGTTGTTCCTCTGTTTGGCCATTAGAGGGCACTTTACCCATTCACATATCATTAAAACATCAGTGAGAGCAAGAGAGGAGCCTGAGAAAGAGCTGAAAGAAGCTTCATTGAAACCTTCAAAAGAGAAGTCTTGAGATATACCTTCTTATGGCAAATCAACTAGGATCAGAATTCGATCAATGATGCACTGAGAATTTGGACTTTAAATCTCATTCAATGAGAATGTAATAAATAAGGGATTAAATATCTCTGTCGTCTGATGTAGAGGTCCTTTGGTACTCTGTTCTGGCTGTGGCCGTATCTCTAGTCACTCCTCTGTGAGCTCTCGAGTCTCTGCAGGCCTCTGCCGACCTGCCCATTAAAATCTCATTAGAAGGAGTGAAGGGAAGGTGATTCCCTTTGGCGCTCTGTGGAGAGACCTGCTTTACTCTGCATGAGGGCCTCTCTTTCTGCCCTGTGTGCCCGGGATTTCTGCTCTGCTTTGGGGCTTGAGGCGAACCCCCTCTGAGTCTCTGCCATCTGTGATTTGGGTATCAGTGTTCAGCCACACATTCAGGAACATCAAGGCCCTGTCTAATAAGTTCAGCACCTAGTTCATCTAGACATTTGTCCACAAGAAGCGCCATGACTCAAATGTAAGCCTGGGTTTATTTTGCGATCATGCCAGACTTGCTGTACATTATTCTGCTTATTTTACAAAAAAATAAAATAAATAAATAAAAAAATAAAATAAATAAAAATAAAAATAAATAAATAAATTACATATTACTTTTTGAAATTAATAGAGTGATATGAGCGACATGGAATTAGCACAGCTATTAAAGTCAATTGCCAGGGATGGTCATGGATGGAGTGTCAAAAATAAATACATTGAAAATGAATGAATGAATAATTACATTTTAGATTGCAGTTTTTAGGATAAGTTTTTATTCAGAT